TGCTCTCTTGCATGAAAGTACTGATATGAAATGAACCCGTTCCTATCGGGGTACACGTTGGTTAGCCATCTTCACGATAAACGCGCCAAGCAATCTCCTCTACAAGGTCTGAAGATAAAATAGATTTTTCGTTAAAGTTATACCCTGATAGCCTTAACTGAAACTTGCTGTCAATTTACGCCCACAATTTGAAGCCAACTTAACGAAAAAATGAGTTGAAAAAACAAGCGGTTTCAATTAAGTTGCCAATATTGCCAATAAGTAACTCTGCAATTTGACGTCAAGACTTGCTGTGCAAGTATTTCAATCAAGTTGTAATAAAGAATAAAGTTGAAAGAAAATTCTATTTAACTACAAGTTTGATTGTTAACTTGCATTCAAATTGCGGCCATAGATTTTTGTCTATTTGTTTACAACTAATATTATTCAGTGAAGAATTACCGCCAACTTGATGTTAAGTTAACCGTAACTGCTGGAAGTCAACTATACTTTTTTAGGAAGTGCTGGCTATCAGGTAATACCGAAAAAATGAAAATATGTTGAAGGTAAAGTCATTTTCAGTTTTATCTACTCCAAATTTTATTTAGATGTCACTGCTGACTACAATCCAAACTCTGGACTCTGACTATTGGACCAGAAAAAAGTTAACTTGGATTTTTTTTATTCTTTGATTCTTTGAAATTGTTAGATAGTAATGGTCCGAATACAGATTATTTAAATAACGTAGACAAAAATATTATACCTATAATAAATATTGCATTGATTGTTTTATAGATAAAAAAAAAAATTTGTTAACTTAATTTTTTTTCGCATAAATAAAGAATTTTCTAAAATGGAATTAGACAATTTGCTAATTAGAACGTCGATGTGTCAATTATTTTCTCCTTAAATGCTCTTTTATTAGAATCTGCCATTGTTCGAAGCTTATAAGGAGTTTTTTTTGCTTAAAAAATTGCTCTTAGTTTGTTCTATCAATTAAATAAAAAAATTATTTAATTTTTGAAATATTTATGAGTAAATGGTATATAATTTAATTAGAAAGAAAAAAAAATTACTCAGCACTAAAATTTTTCCTGTAACTATTTAGGAAGTTGACGTAAAGCTATTCTCTTTGTATTATAAAACTTTCAACTACATAGTATTATTTAAACCAAAATATTTTCAAACAGTCTTTAAATTTAGATGAAAATTACATTTATGTTCCATGTATACAATATATTTGTTTTCTCAATATTTAAATTACCTTGTCATTAGTTATTACAAATAAACTTTTTTAGAATAATAGAAAAATTAACGTGTTTCTGTAGAAGTTATATTTAATAATTTTTTTGTTTTCTACGACTTAGTTTTTTAATAAAAAATTTATTCCATCTATTTGTTTCATAAGTCATGTTTAAAAAATGAAATTTAATGAAAAAACATATTTTACTGAAAACTATACTTTATACTATATTAATTATATACGACTACTTTGATTCGAAACCTATTATATCATTTTATTCCTTATATTTTTTTACTTAATTGTATATATATTTTTAATAATATACAATGTAATAATGTGAAATTAAATGATGAAATTAATGAAATTTAATGATTAAAGAAGAAGTAATATCACTCAAATCCTCATGTAATCAAAATTGTTACCGCATTAGAAAAAAATCTAATTGGATTACCGGATTATAATTTTTATACGAGTTATATCAAAATAAATTATATTTTGTCCCAAGTTAATTGCAAGTTGGTTTATTTTGATCAAAAAGAATGAGAATCAAACGAACAATTTAAGGCTAGATAGCACGACATGCATTTTCAAAAATTTTGTTTTTAATCAATAATTCTTTATAATCTATAAATTTGTATTATCCTTTTCCAACACCACACGCGTGTGTTTAATACTAATGTGAAAATCAAAAATGTTTGAAAGTCACACAAACAAAACATATTATCGATGTACGCTTTTATGCAATACAACATGGAGATTGGCGACGCAATTTTAGAAAACTTAAGAAATCGAGAATTAATAAATGCTCGTGATGATGATGGTTTCTCTTCTATTTATTATATACTACAACCGATGTAGTACAGAAATTTTCGATATGTCGCGAATAAACTCAAAATTGTAGCTGATATAAATATGTGCACTGTATATTCTTGTTAATCGTAGGCAGTGCTCTGATATTTATGCAACAGTAAAAGACAATTCAGATACTTTAAGACGCAATATGGTGCCTTACAGAAGCAGCAGTAAGATATTGGGAATGTTATTGCCTTATTATGATATAATAGTCAACTCTAAAGCTTCGTATAATGCGACACTTCCATTGAGAGATCATAAATCATCAGACATCCATTTAAGCCGATTTAAAGATGAACAGCATTAATGGAAAAATTTTTGAAAGAGAAAGAAAAAGATATACTATTGAATTGATTGCAATGAATTCGGATATTAGAAAGATATAGAAACAAAATTTCATGCAGAGAAAATTATACAAGGAAGTTATGTGCGGTCACGAAAGTATTTTCTTGTTTAATTTTACAGTAAAACGTTGTAATTATAAAAATTGAAATTATTATTGAAGAATAAGAGCCTTAATGGACGCCTTATAAACGCCTAATAAACATTAAATATATTTATATTCACAAAGATAAAAAATATTGTTTCAAACAACTATTTAAACAAAGGATAGGCAGATCTCGTATAAGAGTTAATATTAAATATATGTATAGTTGAATACCTTGAAAAGAACGACTAGAGAAAAACTTCATCAATGAATTTTTCACTATTAAAATATTCATTTACTAATTGCGATTCAAAATTTAAATTGATATGTCATATTATTCTAAATTCAAAGATTCATATGGAACAAATTTTTCATATTTAATTAATTTCTAGTTACACTATTTTCTACTCGTACTAATTCTATTTCAAAGATATTCCAAAATTAAAAACTAAAAAAAAATTTTTTTCCAGTTTTTTTTTAGATATCTTTCAAATTCTTCGACTAAGTAATAGATTCAAGATCTTGCAAATATTTTTTTGCTGCATTGAATACCGTCAAGCAATTTAAAATCGAACGACGCATTTAAAAGTTATAGTCATTTGAAAATTTCGAAAAAGTCGTTTTTTTAGGATAACTTTGAATTTCTTTGACCTCATCAATTCCAGGCTCCAAAAACACTTTTCAGTTTTAAAAAATTTCGTCATATGTCACCTAGAAATAAAAGTCGAACAACGCGTTGAAAAAAAACTCAAAAATCAACTGCAGTTGTAAAATTTTTAAGCGTTTGGAGCTCGAAAAAAGCGGAAAGTTTCAGAGATGGCCGACAAGGTCAATTGCTTTTCAGATTTTTTTTTTATTTTTTATTACAGAAAATTTTTATTCTTCGATAGAACTTCATCTCATAATTTAAAAGAAAATAAAAAAAAAGTCTCACCGAAATTCATCGAACTCGAAAAGGGTCTATTTCAACCATAGTTGATTTTACATGGAATGACCTGTACATATTTTTATTATTTTTTTACAAAATGTTTTTGATAAAATGATAGCAATCGTAAATAAATATTCGTTACTACAAAATGCATGAATCTCGTCAAAAATTAAAACTGATCGGCTTGTTCTAGGAATATTCGCCTGACCTGCTCCGAGGCATATGTTTTGTAAGACGAATACGATAATTATGTACTGCTTATTAAATATTTATCAAAAAATTTTCAAACATATTCCAATATTTAGATTCAACCAAATATTTCATCAAATTTAAATGTACATCATAATCAAAATTTCCCAACAAAAAGTTTCAATTATAAAGTAATTAGTACTTCTCAATAAATTTTTTCAGTCAATAAAGTAGGAAGTTAAAAGACGCATAAATTTTTTCTATTTTTTCGCTTATAATATTCCTTACTCTGAGGGTAAATCTAAATATATTAATATAATTAAAATACTAAAGAATCCAACACAAACGGCTATGTAATATGATTATTACAAAACTTGGTCTACTTTTGCTGAAAATGAAGTTCTGTGATAATCATAATAACATTATTTGTGAAAGTATTCGGCCCGAAGTTAAGACTTCAGTGCTTAACATGTTTGCATAATACTCACTTCATTACTATCAAAAATCTAAATATTCTGAGGAAGAATATATGGAGTAAAAAAAAAAAAGTTGTTACTACACAGTAGAAAAAAAAAAACATTAGATCATCTAGGTCTTGTGTGTATTTGTGTCGAAAGCGTAATGAATAGGATAGAGTAATCGTTTCGAGAGTTACAATGCATCATGATTCGCTCATACATCATTTTTAGAGTTATTATGCTCGGCAACATAACAAAATAGATTGAAATAATAAAAGTATTTTGTAATAATTTAATTCTTCCGGTAAGAAATAATGTAGAATTTAATTAAAATTTTTATTATTACAAATAAAAAATAAAAATTACATTACTTGGTAAAGCAAAAATGGTTTTATTTATAATTTATATATCTATAGTAGTCATAAAATATATTTGTTCAATAATTATAACGATTTAACATCACCAGTAATTATAGTATTTTCTTAAATCATTGGGATTTTACTAATTAAACATATAATTTACAAAAAATAATTATCTGGATAAATAATAATACATAAATGACCAATTATAAAATAATCGATTCTAAAAAAATTTATGTAATTAGTGATATCATAAATTTTTGATTACCTCAATATTGAGATAAATTTACAATTATTTATACATATTAAATAATTATATTCTATTATTTATACTTTTAAATATAATTAATAAACAAATTGCTTGTAATTATTGCATTAGCTCTAGATAAATTTCTAAAGACGTTCTATAATCAATGACCACAATAAGTTTAATTGGTGAGCCAAAGAAGAAAATTTAAGAACGTCGAGCACGTGATACCTCATTTGTTATACGCCTGTTGCGTATTTTTACGATTAACAAATTATTACATCTATCTGTTCCATATATTAGGACAGAAGATCATTTTTAACAGCCAATTTTATGCAGTAACGATGCCATTCGAAATACTCTCATCCAAGCAAATATTCCAGTAGATACAGTATTGTTAATTATTCGATTAGATGAACATCCATGTGCTGAATTTTTACTTCGAGATGTCCTCGAAGGTGTCGCAATCATAGATGCAACCTCACTTTCTGATTTTCGTTCTTTTTGTTGTTGTTGCGGTGAGTATTTCATTCTAAAATAAAAAATCCGTGTTATTATTATCATCAATACTATTATCAAGTTTTTTGGTTTATCATTAAAAACTCTTGTATTACACTTTTAATCATTAGATAAATAATATTTCATTGATTTTTGAAAAAAAAAAAAAACATTATTAAATACATAATATGTGTATATATATATATATATATATATAAACTCTATGTAATAAAAATTTGCTCTAGATTTAAAGACCTTCACCCTTCTGCTTGATTACATAGTGTCGCAGTTATCCAGGAGCAGCTTATTCACTCTTACATTACATAGACAGAACTCCAGTATTCGAATATCACGAAAGTAGGACATGGCTCCTGTTGCTACCCGTTGAATTTTAAACTTTATTAGAAGCTTACTCCAGAATTTATTACAACGCAAATTAATGTACATAAGTATTGTTATCATGGGTACTTAAATATTTGACTATAACATACTGTGTTTGTTTCAATTAATAAAGTCGATAATTGAAAATCTAGGCCTGAATTTTCTTATCATTTTGTATGCACGATAATAGCTATACAATCACCAGCTGACGATTGATAATTATTTTACATACAAGTATATATTTCTATTTTTTTTTATTATCAAACGCAACGATTAATCGAGCAAAACATCTAGTTTAAAAAAAAAAAAAAAAACAAAAAAAAAACAAAGTAAATAA